GATTTGGGATTAAACCCGATTATTGCAGATCTGTCAGTACCAAGCTGGTGATAGTTTACTGAGGGACGTTTTGGTGCTTTGCAGGAACCTGCCTGAAACCTGAGGTGCTCAAAATGAGTATCAGAATGTTGGCCATAAGAAAGACATAGTGATTCTGTTTCATTTAAAAATCGTAATTTTAGCAGGAAAACAAGCGGTCTGTTTTTAAGGGCTTGGCAGCTAGTTAAGAGGCGGTTAAAATACGTACACGGATATATGAAGACTATCCAGTTGCAGTGGGTCTTTGGCTGAGGTACACACGGCCTAATGAAAAGCGTGTGAGTTTCTGTGTAACTTTTGAAAACAGTCAACATGCAGTGTGTTTTTTTTACAGAACCATGTTTCAAGTCACCAGCAAATTTTTATCTTACTAGTCTCCATATACTGCACATTCGATTCTTGTAAACCCTAATAATTTGATTCTAGGGACTTCTAAAAATGTCTGCTCTACTATTTATGTCCACAGCTGGAGTGTGGACTGGAAGGCTAACGTTAGCGTTACTGTAGTGCTCTATTTCAGACATATCAGTAACTTTGTACAGTTCTTTCTTATCTGGTTCATGTTGCCTTCCTTGCTACATGCTTCTTTCTACAGAAAGATAATAAAAACAAGAAAAGAAAAGACTGTTTGAAAATGTGCAGAAGCAGTTCATAACTTAACCTAAACCCAGACAGAAACTCAACAAAAAATGGGAAAAAAAATCTGACTCATGGACAGTAGTTGTCAGTATCTTGGTTAGGGTGTTTGTGGCAGCTGTTTGAATATAGTCCCGTTGTTTGTGTGAGAGGTTAGCAGGAGGGAATGGGAATATCTTCCATAGGCTTGACTGTGCAGACGTGACCTTCAGTTTCGTTAAATTCAACATGACACAGTAATGTCGTTTGTGTTATGTGTCTTAGATAAACAGAGCTGAATTTTGATAGTTAAACACATGTGCATCAGGTGGGCAGTAATTTAATGTAAATGCTTCCTGTTCACATTCAGCTTTATAAATAGCTTTGAACATTCTCGGTAGTTGGCTGTGTTTATTAGGTGTGTGCCAACTTCGGCTGAAGAACAGTATGCCCTTTGTTTTCTTCTTCTTTCTCTTTACTATCCTGAAGTGTTGGAAGCAGGTCTGTGTTACAGCTCAACATTTTTCCATTTGTGGCCGGCATCTTTTTTCTGTTGAAACCTGTGTGAAAGGTTTTTTTTCGTGTATGCAGTCTCACTAAAACCATTAGGACCACTTGTGTAAGTAATGAGTGTATTGAAAGTGTTTGAGGAGTCTTGAGATAAGGGAGGTTTTAAGCAACAAAAACATGTAAAGTGCAAGCTGATATTTCAAAAAAGGTTTTTTTATTTATTTTTTTTTTCTCCCCAGTTGTGTGTCAGTTCAGGGTTTTTTTAGGGAAAGGCAGTACTTTGAAAAACAGACTTAGCTTGGAACACACCTGCATGCTCAGTGCTGTAAAACAGTTGGTGTCCTCCCATTGTAGTGTATTACTCCTCAGATGCGTGCTGTAACATTGGCATTGGAAACTATGAGGAGAGTAATTACAAAGAAGAAACTCCTCAAACCTATATAAGTAGTGTTAGTTTTCCCTATTTTTTTATCTTGATAATGTATGGTTTTTATCTCATATCATCTTGGGATTCAGTCCCTCAAAATGCTGTGCCCTCTGGCCCCAGGCAGTAAAACACTGGCACTTGTGCTTCAGTGCTGTGTAGTTTATACCGAGAGAAATAAGGCATAGCAGTGAGATAAAACCAGGGCTGCAGCCAGGAGAAAGTTATGTGGTGAACACCTGTGGTACCTGTCATTCCTGAGCTTGATTGAGTGCCCATGGAAATCAAGGGGAAAAATGTTCACCGGTACCAATACACAGGGCTCAGTCTCTATTTCTAGGACTTTTAAAAGCCGTAGATAAGCCTTTGTAATGAGGTGTGAAACCCAGTATCAGATCAATGTCCTGACCTTGTCCTCAGTGAAGTTGCAGATATTAGGTGCAACCTAGTTTACTGACAGGTGCTGCCTCATTCCAGGTACTAAAATAAGCATACACTACAGTTAGAGTTATTTGAGTTTAGTTAATTTTAAAAAAGATAGTGTTGCTATGGGATGGATCTTGCCTGTCTGTAGCTTGGTCTGTCAGCTGCACAGTTGTGTTAGCTTATACTTTAAAACATCCAGGTCTCTACTGGAGCTGTGGTTTTATCATCTGCAGTTAAAATAAGAAGAGTAGCATCAAACAGTTTCTTTCCAGCCTTGCGCCTTCTCTCGCCATCTGAACAGATTTTTTGGGATGACATTCAGTTAGATTTCTTGGTAAGGTGGTCACTGGGAGCCAAAGTATTGTTTGTCTTAGTGTTTACAGTGGGTGCTTGTGCCTCTAGTACAAGAAATAGTGGAAAGTCTTTACAAGCTGATGACCTACTATAATGCATGAGGTCAGATTTTAGTGGGATTGTGTAGAGGGTTGGGGATTTTTTTGGCATTAATTTAATTTAAAATGCAGTTACCCTGCTATGTTGTTCTATCCACTCAGGTATACTGAGCAATTGAACATAAAAGATTGCAGTACCTTTGCTTCATATGTAGTGAATTGCCAACTGGACTACACTTACCTGAGCCATAGAACATCTGTTTTATTGAGAACTCAGGCATCTTTATTAGTTTTTTCCTCTAAGAAGTCTTTGCAGTGGTGGAGGAGTAGACAAAGTTAGTTAAGGAACTTACCTGTTTGGTGCTCCATGCAGTGAGTGCTCCAGTGTACTGCCCATGCTGCAGGGGTTTAAAGGAAGTATTAAAGCATTAAAGGAAGATGAACAAATTTGCAATTCCCATATGAGAGAGCCGGGTCAAGGACCGATTCCCAGGGAAGGGATTTTTAATGTTTCCAAGGAATGAATACTGCTCCCTTCCCAAAGACAGGTGCGATTTGGAGCTCGTGGAGCAGGAGTGGAAAAGACTGTGGGAGGTAAGGATGAAACCTGTGGAAAACGAGAGCATTCCAAGGGTATCGTTATGTCAAATGACCACATGACATGGAAGTCCAAGGAGGACAAATGGTACAGTTATTTGGCATAGATGCTTTTCCAATTAAAGCCAAAAACAGAAGAGTAGTAAAACATAAGGTCGTTAGGTTCTTGGTCTTGTTACTGCGTGTTTCATTCTTTTGTAATGTGTGGCCAACCTCAGGTCTGTTTGGATTTCCATGGTAAGATTGGAATCTTCCCTGTGCACTCCTAATAGGGACGTTTTCCTTTAAGCATGTGGAAATGCCTCCTAATGGCAATGCTTTTCCCTTTTTCAGCTTGAACAAAGAATGATCCAGCATCCACAGACACTTCAAGAGGAAACTTATGAATGCTATGTCAGTTGTTTGTTTCTGTAAATCACAGGCAAAAAACTTCCCTGAAAACAGATTTTGAAGTTTCAATGTCAAAGACCTCCAGTTAGAAAGATCAAAGAGTTAGGACTCTGTGTGCTCTGTGTTTTCTTGTGTATTGTGGGATCACTTTAGGATAAACTCCATCCCTTTAAGCCCTACTAGGCATTTTTTTCTGTGCTACTTGGCAAATCGGATAATCTGATTGGAAAATGAACTAAATGTATTTGAGTGTAAATGAGTAGATGAATCCGGAGAAGAAAGTTTGTATCCCTGTTTCAGGTTGTACTTATACACCATTGCTTTGAAGACCTTATACTTCATTGCTTTGCTTTTTAGTCTTGGGGTTTGGCTTGTGTGCCTTGTACTCTGGGCAAAGCTGATGGTTAATTTGATTCTGATTTCAGTGTTGCCAGACTGTGAGATTTTATCCATTGTACAATTCCAAAGTCTCCTAATGTGATTACGGTAACAGTTCTCCTCCAATCATGTCATCTGGACATGTAGAAAAAATGTGGATCTGAGAGACATGGTAGAATGAGAAATCAGTGCTGTCTTTAACATGAGCTACTTGAACTGTGAAGATGGGCGATGCTTATGGGATATACTGGTCAGCTTCAGCAAAGGAGAGGGGCTGTGCCGAGTAAAAAGAAAAACATCCAAAAACCTGTCTTGCTCTTGCTGTCATGAGCCAGGATGGATTTTTGCCAAAGTTAATACAGAGCACAGCATCAGCTCTTGTCAGCAGTTTGTATTTACTTCCAGGAGATGATGAGCTATTGTACCAGCACTAGAAAGATTTCTTTGGAAGTTGACACGTGTTCCTCAGAGAGAGGATAAAGGCAAATCCTGAGGAAAAACAAATGCTGTTTTTTTTTCCCTTTGCCTTTTCACTGTGACAGTGCCATTTGTCACATTGCTGGAGTGGGGATCTCTGCTGTAAGAATGATAAGGGGTTGACAAATGTGCTTTGCTGGAAGCATGGTGGATGCCTTTCTGTAGAAGACCTTCTGAGCTACCTTAGGTTTTACTGCTCTTCTGTTTTTGGCTTTAATTGGAAAAGCATCTATGCCAAATAACTGTACCATTTGTCTTTCTAGGATTTTCATGTCACGTGGTCATTTGTCGTAACGATATCCTTGGAATGCTCTCGTTTTCCACAGATTTCATCTTTACCTCCCTGTCTTTACCTCCCACAGTCTTTTCCACTCCTGCTCCACGAGCTCCAAATCGCACCTGTCTTGGGGAAGGGAGCCGTATTCATTCCTTGGAAACATTAAAAATCCTTTTGCTGGGAATCAGTTCTTGACCTGTCTCTCTCATCTGGGGATTGCAAATTTTTTCATCTTCCTTTAATACAGCCTGTTTCTGAAGCAGCAGATAGAGATCAAGAAAAGGTGGTATTGAAAAAACCCGTAGTGCTTCAGGTTGAGTGTACCTTGAATTTTACACCACATTAACATTTCATATACTCTGTTTTTCCTCAAGGCACTTAATCTAATAGAAATTATTAGGCACTCAGCTGTGACAAAAGTAGGTCCCTTCCAATTTGAAATGGTTTTGGTTGATCTTTCCTGGTAGCTGAAACGATGGCGTATGCAAGGTATCTGCTTTTCTGAAAAAGGTATTTCTCTTTTTGGGACAGATGGGCTGTTGGTCTCTGGTGTAAGGACGTCATCAGATGTGTAATGCTTCATCTTTCTTTTGCTCTGCCCACCAGCTCAGGCCTTCCTAATTCAGACCACCTTATAGTTCATCCCTTCAAGCCCATACCAGAACAGAGCTGCTATAAGTAATGGGAGGAATTTTAAAAGCTCACTTACACTGCTAAGAGACCACTGGAATAGCAGCATTTTAAGACTTAGGAATGCAAGCATATTATCAGCATGAAAACACGCTTTGCTTTTACTTGCACCTGCAAAAATAGAAACTATTTTTCCATGTCTCCATGTTTCTGAAGCAGACCTGGGTAAACATATGCAAGATAGCAGCAGAAAATACGCTGAATCTTTACTGTGTGAATGAGAGAAGGTGGTATTACAACATCACTGGCACATCATTGATTCCTTCCACTTTTCCACTAGGTGATTGTAATTTGTATATCTTTGGTGAGAAAACGATACTGAAAATACCCCCCATGGGGGCAGACAAAGGGGCCTGTGTAACATAGCATCATCTTTCTGGCAATGACATAGGGAACATGTATAAGATACTGAGCAACTGTAGCATTAATTCTTTACTGATAAATTATGTCAACTCCTGAGCTGCATTCAGAATGTGGATCATTAGACAAATGGTCACTGTACATGCAGAAAACCAAAATAATAGCATGAATTGATTTGAATTAGCCATAACTCTATAGGTTGAATTAAATTAAGCCACTTAGTATCATCTAAATCTCTCTTATATCTGAACCAAATGTTACTATTTTTGTTCTCTCTCTTCTTCTCTTGTAATTTACTATGATATTTTAAATCTGTCATACTACAAACTGTATTATCATCAGGGCAGTTTTATTTTCTTTCTGTAATTCTCTCAGGAATTCTCTTCAAGCCAAGAGAATACAGTAACTTTGCTCACATTAACTCTTACGTGAAGTTGTGCAAATATTGACTCTTACTAATTACGAGTCTTACAGACAGCTTACTGTATAAAACCTTTGAGGTGAGGCAAGGTACAGTCAGAGCAGTACTTGGCCAGAGTACAATACTTTTTAGGGTAGTAGTGTTCTGCAGCTGTACTTTGTAGAAGCAGCAGAAAGGCTTCTATGGTAGGTAGTGTAACCAGAGTACCAAGTGGTCCAAAGGGACAGTTTCTTTCATGTCATATATCAAAAAAGGTTCTTTCTACACATCAGTATTTGTGAATGTCTACAGTTTTGCTAGTGTGGAACATGAAAGGATGCAGCTAAATCAATTAAAAGTGATTTCAGGATTTCAAGGAAGACTAGCTTTAAAGGGCAAACCTTTAAAGCATTTCTGATGAATTTTGCTAAAACTGAAATAAGAGCATTCTCGTTGCCTTTTTGTCCAGCAAAAGGGTACACTGTTCAGAGTTCATGAGTCAGCTTGGTGAACCCTATTTGTGAAGTCTTCCTTGATAAACAATTTTGAATAAATAATGAATTTGCAGAAAAAAAACCCAGCATGTATTCAAGGGGAACTGGAGACAAACAAATAAATTCAGCAATAGTCATTGCAACTAATCTGTTCTGCTGCAGTGGTGTCACGGATATTTTCCAAATCATGTGAAAACAGAGCAGTGACTGAAAATATGGGAAGATACAATTCAGAACAATTACTCTCATAATCATCAAATACATATTTGCATGTTGATATAGAGTGTGTATAGTTGCTTCCTTCTAAAATCCTGTGTATCTAGAAAATATCACAGTGTGCTTGCTGCTAATTCGTCACAGATACTTGAAGTAATTAAATCAATAGCACTCTTCCCAATTCATGAAAGTGTTTTAATTCTTGCTGTAGGCATAAGTGATTAAGTAGAGTCCCATCAATTTTCTTGTATGGCTTTGATTCCTCCTCTGTTTTTTTGGTTGCTGCAGTAGCTGTTGAGTTGTGCTTTTAATTAAGCTTTCCCATAAAATTGCCATAGGAGCACTCAGGTACCTGAGACTTAGAATTTCAGTGCCTAGTTTTGATTTAGAAAAGCCCTCAAGACCCTTTACAGGATCCTGCAAGGCTGTGGCTGTATTTGCATTGTTTTGCTTCTTAAACCTAAGTACTGCTTCAGAAAACTGAGTCACTGGGATATTTTGAATCCGTCTTGATGGTAGCTGGTCACTGGGCTGAGAAGGCATAATAAATATGAAGAGGTTTTTGTATCACAGAGGGAAAACACACTCCCACAGTAACTATTTTGTCCTTGTGACTACAGCCATTGGAAGCAGACTTAGCTGTATGGCAGAGGCTTGGCAGCACAGAGATACTGATACCTGTCTTCTGTTCTGGTATGTGGATTTGCATACACTTGAAAAGAAGCTGCCACAGGGAATGGCTGTGGCATTTGTGTAAAGAGAATGAAAGTTGCAGAAATGCATCAAAATATTCCACTACAAATGTCTTCTGCTCCTGGCAAAATACAGTAAGGAAAGGCCAGACTAATTGATTCTCTACTCCCTTCAGCAAAAGACAGTGTACTTTTCAATTTTGCTACTCCGTTAATCATCTGTATGGTAGAAGGCCTCTGATAGTAACATTATGCATGTGCTATTTTTTAATACAAGATTTGTAGTACAGTTTGAAGTACAATGTAATTTTATGGATATCGCTTAATGTGATTTAAAGGCAGTAGCTGATTAATCCTGCATGAGATGGGTTGAGAAAGGTAGAGCTCCAAAGTAACCCTGCAGCCTTGTGAAAAAAATTATGTAGGTCCTCAAAGGTCCAGCTCTTAATTCAGTGACCTGTGATTTGGAAGAGCATCAGAAAAAAAAATTTCTCACATAGTGAGTATTCTGTGTTAGCATCAAGTAATGAGTGATTTTCCTACTGTTTTTCTTTCTAGGAAACAAGGTTATTAGTAAGCATCTTGTTGCAATTTAAAGGAAGTTTAAAGGAAAAAAGAATTTCAGAACACAGGTTTCATGTTTGTATCTTATATTTCTAAAACACATATGTATTGTTCACCTAGAGTGTGCTGAATTTCTGTGCCTTGAACGATTGATAAACTGTTCCTAATGGCATGGAACTCAAAGGGTTACGTGATGTTATTTCTGGGATGAACAGAAATCGGTGCTTCTTACGTGGTAACCCATGTAGTCATGTTCTGGTGCTTATGCATTCTTTAGTTTTGTATCTTGTCATGATTCTTTGGCAGCTAAAACTGTCTAGTTGTTTCAGTTGTATCTGAGTCAAGATCAAACGGAAATTGGAATATACTATTCCTACACTGGGAATTTTGAGAAACAGTATACATTTCAAGAGGACTTTTAATCAAAAAGGATTACAGAAACTTGTTCTTCTGTGTGAGATATATCTGTTACTTGTCATGTGAGAGTCATACAGAGGATCAGCTTCTTCTAACAATGACTTTGTTGGGTTATAAACCAGGGCTGGCGTTACGAGGTGTGCAGTCATTTGGGACAGAATAACTTGCCTTAAACCAAAGGGCTGTATTCTTATTTCCCTTACAGCTCCCCTTATTGCCACATACTAGTACAGGAGTTGTTTGCCTTCTAGTATAAGAAGCCCAACAGCTAAGGGAACATCAAACTTTGTTTTCTTGAAGGAGATACAGTCATCTCCCTCTGCCCCCTTAAATGTCTGTTTTAACTTAGGTGGTTGACATTACCCATTTTCATTTCTTGTGCAGCCTCTGAAAGTCATAAACTTCTTCATGGATTGTAAATAACATTAGAGCCACCAACCAACTTGATAACACCTTATGGGTTGCTCCAGTGGCATGGTCTTCAATACACCATGAATAGAAGTGCAAAATATTTACTTACGTTAAAAAGTGTTTTTTTCACTGACTCTGTTAAAGTTGAGAAGCAAGAAAGATAAACGTAATTTAGGATAACTCAGACATGCTGTACTGAATGTTCAAAGTCCATAAATAACTTGCTAAATTTTAAAAGTATGCAAAAGAGGGATATCTTAATTTGTAACACGTTTCCCAAACCTGTTACAGAACATTGTTCCAAGTAAGTGCACTGAAACAGGATCTTTCTTTTTCAGACAAGAGCAGGTCAGCGTTCTGTATCAGAACATACACATAGTGGAACCAAGGTTAATCCAGACGTACGAACATGTCATTAAGAACTTCATCCGAGAGATCAAACTCCAAAGCACAGAGTTGGAAACTTTGGCTGTCGCGGTAAAAAGGTATGGTGAGTTGTGTTTCTAGTTCAGTCCTGCAGTTACATTTTTCTCTGTAACACTGTTAGGTTAAACTCCTGGGATTTGATGCCAAAATACGTCATGTGGAGTTACTTCCATAAGCTGAGTTGAAAGGATAGTTAGTATGCACACACATGTACCTGAACACATATAGATGATTCCGTGTTTACATTTGATAAGCCTGGGATCAAATTTTTGCAGGCTCTATTCTTATATTTAATGTCTTAAAATGTTTTGACTCCTCTTCCTTAGCTGTAATGTTAAGTTTTACCATACGTGCCCATTATACTTACATTTTAGAATTGATATTTCTATGTTTCCAGCTTCAAGTGGTGTGTTTGCTCATTGTGGCTTCCGGACGTTTGAAATCTCACCTCATTATTGTCAAAAACAATAAGAGTAACTCAGGACAGATATGCTGTATGTGTCGGGGATGCAAGTTGCTGTAGTTAACCTTTTGAAGTCCCTTCATAGGATAACCAGAAGGGCCTTTTATCTATTAATTTTCAAAATGCAAATGTGATGTATTTCATACTAATCATCATCTGTCAGCTATTATTTAAAATCTGATTTGTCTGTATCTTCAAATTAATTTGTGATTTTGTTTCCTAGCCTTACCAGTTTCAAGCTCTGGGCAGCGGTAAACTGTTCCTATGTCTGTCTGTCTAATTTGTTTCAGCTGATGTAGTCAGATGTGTTTCACACAACATTTCTATCAACCTTAAAGGCCTATTTACTTCTAAATTTTAGAGCTCAGGATAAAGCGGCAGTTCAGCTCAGTGAGCTGGAGGAAGAGATGGAACAACGGATACAGGCTGCAGAGCATAAAGCTAAAAAGGAAGTGAGTGTTTCGTGTTTACAGAATTACATAATGACCAAATTCTCAATGGTCTTCAGCAGAGTTGATGGTCATGTGTGTTTTTGATCTTCATGGGTTGACTCAAAGCTGCTGAAGGCAGGGCCTGGATGAAAAGAAGCTGCCCATGGCATCAAAAATGTATTATTGAATGCTTTCCCAAAGGGGAATGGCTGCTCAGCTGTAACAAACCAAGAAAAAAAAAAAAGTCTTTCTCTTTTGTGAGAATATGCTGGCCTAGAGGAATTTATTTCTGAGACCAGTATTTGAAACAGATTGGAAAATGACATTTCACAATAAAAGAATGGAATCTAGTTTTCTTAGTAGAAGAATTTATGTAGAAATTAATGGTTAGATCATTTGTTTCTAATTTGTATTTATCTGCGTGGGGTAGTGATCTTTATTTCCCCCATTCTCATTCAGCATCTCTATTTTAGAGGGTTATAGACATAAGAGAGCATAATTGTGATGACAGTATGTGAGAGCCTGGACCTCCCAAAGTTGATGGGAAATTCTGTTTCAGTGTGCTTAAGTTTTAGCCGTCATTTCAACTGGCTTGCAGTCTTGGTGGAAAATTATAAGAACATTCTTCTTCTTACCCCTTGAAAGATACACTAAAGCCACACATGGCTGTGCAATGCCAAGCAGAGAGAAGTACAGGAAAACCACCCTACCTGTGTTGTCTGGGTCATGTTGGAGTTAAATAAGATAAACCTAAATTTATAGTGCACAGAAGAATAAGAGTTTGTGAAAGTGTTCTGATGTGGACATAAGAACTGCATGAATTGAAATATACATTGTGGACATAATTATTGCTTTGTAGGCCACGACATACACCAAAGCATTTGCAGAATCAGAAGCAACAAAGTGCAGTCAGCCAACTTGGTGATTTTAAATAGTTAATGGTAATTGACCTTTGAAGATAAATTATATTCTAATGGATTTGCTTCAAACACCATCTTTTTCTATACAAGAGGAAACGCTAAGACCAAACCATAAAAGTCAGTTGTTTTCCTAGAAACAAAATATAATGACAAAAAAAAGTTAAAGATAGCACCACAGCAAAAAAAAAAAAGAGTGTATCATAATATGTTTAACTAATGATAATGCAACTCTCAGAGGAGAAGAACTCTTTCTATTTCCAGAAGGAAATTTCTGGAAATTTCTATTTCCAAACAAATATGTTTGCTCTGGAAAATTTATGTTCTGCAAAAAGTGGTAAATCACTGAAGAAAGCCCTAGAGACTTTTACACTACTGTGAAAAGATGACTGGGATGTGTGTATTCACTCTGAGAACATCCACAGTTATGTACTAGCATTACATAAAAACACATCTGCAGAGTATTATCCACATCTGGTCTGTGTTTTTATTCTAAGAAGTCCTCAAAACGTCACCGAGTTGCACAGAGAGCAGTTTTCACTGTTCATACCTCGCTATAGATATGAAATATGGGCTGTAACTTCTTTCTCACAGTGCTCTTTTCATTTTCACTCCTAAATGTTCCCTTGAGTTCATACCTCCACGTAACTCCACCTACTAAAACGCCCCGAGAGTAAATGTAAGGTATTTACTTTGTGGGATTGTACGAAACCATTAATCTTGATGCCTGTACTCAAGGCTATTGTTTGTCAGAGTGATCTCACTCATGCCACCGTGACACCTGCCTGTATTTTGTTTCTTCAAGGGAAGCAAATAGTTACCAAACAATACTTAGGAGTCCTGTGTAGCTGCCAAGAGAAGGAGAAGTTTGAACTGATTACTTTGATTATCATTTTTAACACACGGATTATCATTTAACATACGGGTGTCGGCAGCACCTACAGGAAAACACTGAATTCACTGAGAAGTCCACGTTTGTCTTCTCTGTGAAAACTCAACCTGCCTCATTGGCACCACGTTACCACTGCTGTGTTCTGGTTTCCTGTGTTGTGAAAATGTTCACTCAGGTCCCTGGGGAGTGACTGGTGGGAGTTAAACCGATAGTGGCCCAGTAGTGCTGTTACTAGCACATAAGATGCCAAGCCGTAGAAGACTGGTTTGAAAAAAAAACATGTGATGTCCTGATTTTTGTGCAGGCTTGTATATATGCATCTGTATGTGCAATACACACCTGAATTTATGTACAAAAAAATTATGGACACTTCTCTCTGGCTTTTTTTAAGACATTAAGAATGTTAAGCACAGGAGGCTGTGGCATGTGTAGCGAACACTGAATTGACCCGTATCTTTGCTTCCACTTTACCATTTTATTGCTATGAATATTTTATAAGTGGACTGCAGTGATAGAATCAGAACCTGTGGATCTTAAGGAAGGGGCAGGTTGATGAAGTGGAAAGACAAAATTACACCTGTTAGGGGGAAAGTGTGTGGTTTCCAAACTAATGAGTGTTTAAATAAAACATTTGAAACCTGTCTGAACTTTTAATGAGATTAAAAACACTGCAGGAGAAGCGAAAAGCTGAAGAAGCACTAAATGAGCTGAAGCGCCAGTATGATACTGAAGTTGGGGATCTTCAGGTGACAATAAAAAAACTTAAAAAGGTGAGTAGAAGTCATGATGAGAGTTTTTAAAGAGTGTAAGAGATACTGACCTTATGAAGGGCCTTCCCCAAGATGGATATATATAGTTGCAGCTTTTTAGTTTAATGTGTATTAGAAATGGATGTTGTATTCATTCTGTGTAACTTACTGAAATACTTAGGAAGGGGACCAATGGTAGCCAGATTTTGCTGCATAATTTTCTAGCTCTATCCAGTTGTTAACACGGCAGTTTTACCTAGCTGCCTATTTGATTCATTAGAAATACTCTAATGCATTGCCTCTAAGTACTTGTAATTTATAGATTTAGATGAAATTGGCAACCCAAATACAGTAATTTACAGCAATATAATTTCTTTTAGCAGCTAGTGCATTTCTCTCAAATGTTGATGGTAGAGGCAGGTTTAAGCTGTAATTTTAAACTGAAATTACTAGTGGAACTAGTCTGAATTGAACTTTTAACTTGATCTTTTGATATGTAAGTGTAACGTAGGCTGGAATCTCAAATATGAATATTCGCTTGGGTTATTTTGTAATTTGGGTTTATTTTTGACATAAGTTGTAAGTTTTTACCAGAATTTTAGTGACTATGAGGCTATATTTTTGTTTCTTTATATCTAATTGTACGTTAAAAATCATTGATAGAAATCGAAATTCCTCAAAAGAAACGGAAGATTTTGTAGTACAAAATCTTCTTGTAGTACTACACAGATGGAGCAGTATTTCTATTATTTCATTTATTTATTTATTTACTTACTTACTTACAATAGTGGGAATACACCTATTTTTATCTTCTTGATAGCTGGCTTCTGTACCACTAGCTGTGCATAGTCAACACCTACAGAAAGTAAAATGCACATTAAACATTTTTTAGGTATTGCTGTAAAAAATCATATAGAAGACCAGTAATTTTTTGAGTAATGCTGCCTACTAAAACAGTTGGGAAAACTCTTGAGTTTTAAAAACCTTCATAGCTGTAAAATCTTTTAAGGGATATTTAATACAATTTCCATTACTTTTTATGGACTTTAAACCAGAAAAATCAGTAACATACATTAATTGTGCATTTTTTGTATCCTTCTAGCTGGAGGAGCAATCCAAAAATGTAAATCACAAGGAAGATGTAGATGAGTTGAAAAAAAGAGTACATGATGTGCTGCTGGTGAGAGATAATTGTAATTAATATATCAATTTAGCCTCAGTTTTAGCCTCTACAATACAATTTTTTTTTTTTTTTTTAAATATATGTAGTACCAGTAAACTTTTGAAGTTGTTGATAAGTGTACGAGGATCTTTAACTTGGGAAAAAAAACAGTGTTCTGTAAAAATGCGTACTCATTCTAGGTATAATGTTTAGAAATGGCTTGAGGTGATATAGTTCCCTTTTTGTGTAACTGAAATGGGAAAATAAAAATTCAGTGGTTCCACATGCTAGTTTACTGACTTCTCTATTGATTTAGAGTTCTTTCATTTTTCTTTCCTCCTCCATGCTCAGATTTTGTAGTGTTTGTTTAATTTTGATGTTATTTTACCATTATAATATGTCAACATTTTATGCAGGTGACTGACGGCTAACATCTAATATCTTCTTTTATTTAAGGAAAATCAGAAACTTAAGAAAGATCTTTTAGAAGCACAGACAAATATAGCTTTTCTACAGAGTGAGTTAGATAGCTTGAAAAGTGAGCGTGCGGATCAGGCTTTGAACAGTGAGAGGTAAGTTACTGGTGTATGATAGTATTCTCACCGAGGAAGAAAAAACTGTTGCCTGATACAGTTATTCTGTATACATTTGGAAGCTTTTGTTTTATAAATTTGCCATGAATGATAGGTACACACTTAACAGCATGCAAAGTGTGCCATGAGTACTGTCTTATCAGGTTTCTGAAAGAGCAAGTTCTGGATACGACGTCTACTCTCATAATCATGCAAGGAGGCCCAATGATTTTACTAGGACTTCAGTTAGGAATAAAACTTAAAAGCATCAGGCAATTTTTTCCTGCCGTGTCTTGCACCCAGATGAATATCTGTATAAGCATTAGGGAGCATGGTTTTGGAAGCCTCCCACATAAGTCTCAATTTTTTCTGAAGTGAATGAAGGCTGCTTCTAGGTATTCACTTAAAGGAGCATAAGTGTCGGTTTTGTTTTGTGTTGTGGTTTTCTTCAGATAACAAAATATTTCGAGAGCAAAGGAGGCAGTCCGTATGGTTATTTTATAGGTCTCTTCTTTTTCGTTTATAGTCTTTGTTGAGATATAATGGCAGAGATAAGTGAAATTAGCAAGTGATTTTACTTTGCATAAAACTACTTTTAACCTATTTCAGCAGAAATGTAAACATAGAAAAATATTCAGAAATATTTTGAAATGTTATCTTTCCCCTATATATTTATCATCTCTTATAAATGTTGACTGTTGTGTATTGTTCTCTATCAAAAGCAGTGTTATAAAAATTTTAAAAGGATATCCTGTAAAGCATAACTTCTTGTTTTTTGTTTTGGTTTGTTTGTTTGTTTGTTTGTTTGTTTGTTTGTTTTTTCAGAGACCTAGAAATGATCCGAGAGTGTACTGAAGAGAGAGATAGTCTGGAAAGACAAGTTCAAATTCTTCAGTAAGTTCTTAGTAATTCAGGTTCTTACTAACAAATATTGTCAGCATATTCAGGGGTAAATGTTTTTGTATGCAAAAGACTGGGATTAGTGAAAAAAATACCAAGTAAAAATACTGAAATGATGTCTCATAGAAGGCACTGTGCTCAACTCTTGTAGGAGGTACTGTGCTACTAGGATGTTACTGAGTCACTAACATTTTTTTTTTTTTCCTCTCTTTACCTCACTGACTTTAATTTCTTTATGATAAGCTGAATGACGTTTGAGTCAATCCATGCTATTATAAAAATTATTACTTGGCCCCTTATTGATTGATATCTCCAGTAACTCTTATCATTATCTGGAAAGTACTGAGCATATGCAGTATTATACAAGGGGTGCACAGATTTTTGCTTTCAAGGAGGACCACAGTGACTAGTTCTTTAATATATTTAGTTAATTCCTTTATCTTAAACTTTTTCTTTCTTTCAATCAGCCAAATCATATCTGTGCTTGAGTCATCTCAGCAATGCTTAAAGGGTAGTCACTTTGTATTTCACAAATGGCTGTACCAGTTTACTACACCCTGGCTGCTTTTTTGTAGCCATTCCTACAGTGTTTTTTTTTCCCCCTCAGCTGACCCCCCCCACCATGCTGCAGAAGTGAAATGGTTTCCTAGTCTGCTGCTGAAGGCTAAACTTGACCGTTCTTTTGTCATGGACAGTCATTTCTTTTAGTATGCAAAGCATTTCTAGTTCTACATTACTCTTTAATGTTTATCTAAATAAAAACAAAAGGGTTTCTGAGATGTATTTTTTTCAGTGTTTCTTTGTGATAAGTTACATCATTTTTGATGTTTTCTTTATTCCTTCAATGTAAACTGTTTCCTTATTAGATCAGCTAACAGAAAGTTACATGACAGCAATGATAGTCTCAGAAGTGCACTTGAAAACAGTTTCAGCAAGCACAACAGATCATTGGTATGTATTTATAATTTTATGTTGTAGTAGAAGGCCTAAAAATTACCACCAAATGCAAATGTGTTTGTAGTTCTGTGGATACTCAAAATACTGAGTTTTAGTCAGTGGACTCACTTTGTAAATACACTTGCGTAGTTGAATTTTGTTCAATTTACTTATGTTTTGTGAAATAATGTAGTTTTACCAGAGCACAATTACTTTCTGATGTGCTTTGCAAAGTAGTGATTTTTATTTTATTTTTTTTTTTTTTGTAACGTGCTGTGGCCTAATGTATCTGGTGAGGTGAATAAAGCAGCAGTTTCTCTTGCACTAAAGGGTGTATCCTTGAATTACATCTATGGGAGCACTCTAGCACTGAAAACATGCTTTTTCTGAAAACTGCTTTGTTTTAGTTGCTTTTTTTGTCCAGGCAAGTCATGGGGAAGGTGAATGGGAGGGACTGTTCATAACACAGACCTTTTTGGGCTGTACAGTGATCTGTCATAAGAGATGTAATATAGCATCCTCCAAACCAGAAAAGGAAGGCTTGAAAGTTATGATGACATTTTTCAATACTGGGAAACCTGTTACACTCCAAAGCTAATGATCAGGCAAGCCCTTACATCATCAGGAAAGCAACTAAGAGTTCTAGAAGGGTGGGGCTGGAATAACAGGCACACAGGGACAATACCGTCACGTGCTATTGCTTGAGATCTCTTCTCTCCACTAACATCACTCGAGAACCAGGATGTATCTCTGCTGAAACCAGCTCATCCAGTGACACTTCCCTTTTCACTTTAGTACTCAACATGCCGTTTTTCTACATACTGCTTTTCAAAGCTCAGCATTTCAAAGTCTTCAAGTGTAGCCAATGAAATTATCCTCTTGGAATTTCCATCGACTTTTGTGATTGAGTGTGGCCAGCAGGTTAAGTATTGAGGCAACAGTAGAGCCTAAATGCTATGTGTAATGAGACTTTTCACACCCAGTCCTGTGTAATACATGAGATTTAATTAAAAATAAGTGGTTGGATATATATGACAACATACAGTAGTAATTTTGATGATGACTTCATCATGACAAATAGATGCTTACACTGTGTTGATCAAACTTAATAGGTGTTTGTTATGTATCTCCTGCAGCGGTTAGCAAACACCTCACCAGGAAGTACAATTTCTAGAAGCAGTCCTAAACTTAATGGTGGACAGTCTCCTCTAAACCCACGGTATGACAGGTAAGCCAGGTGTGCTTTTATTAAGTTTAAAAAGACTATGGCATCACGCTTGTCTTAGAAGAGCAAGTATTGTCATATAACAGAGAGAATAGTTCTGTCTGATTGAAGTTTGTGTCACCATAGCATATGATCCAAAGTATACTGAAGTCAGTAGAAATCTTTTCAGTGACTTTGAAAGCTCAGGAAAATTTTCAGTGCAAATCATGAGCTTCTTGTTTGGTTTTGGACTGTTTTGATTCTAGTTTGATACTCTTATCTCCCCTCCTTGTCTCCAAAAAAATTTACCAAGGACCTCTGTTTGCTAGCTTGCTCAGTATACCTAGGTAATAAAACATTTTTGGTCATATCTTCAGCCTACGTGCCTGGTTTTTGTTATTGCAAAGGTATTTGGGCCTAATTCTTCAAAAGAATAAACATCCTCATCTCACACTGACATACAAGAGTAGTGAGTGCACTTCAATACTAATGGGGAAAGAGCTGCAGAGAACAGTAAGGTATCTAAATGCAAATATCAGAGGATGAAGGCTACTTTTGTTTTGTGCTTAATGGATGCGGGTCACTGGCCAGAGCTTCCACAGATCATTGTAGAGACTCTTGCTGAAGTTGCTAAGCATTGCATCCAGCTTCAAGTGCTATAGGTCATGATATGGTTTCACACTTTCATTTTTTAAAGCTGGAACGGTGAGCAAAAATGTGTGTTCTTACTTGACAGGTTGCTTTGTCTTATTTTTCTTACAGTGGTGCTTCAAACTCTTGAGAGATCTCTATTAGAGTTCTTAGTAGTCTGTGCTTTATGTTTGGCCAGAGAGATTAATATCTCTGATAAGGGTTAAGTTGGCTTCTGCTTCACAGTAGTGATATCCCCATTTGTTCAGTGGTGTTACTTTTATTCTGCTGTCTCCATATGAGATATGTTTGCTGGCTGTAAAGTTTTGCTTGTCACAAACTGATTCCTTCTCCTGAAGGCAGGTAAAATCAATTTCCCTCTGTTGAACCCTTTGCAAATTTTGAGAGGCATCCACTACTAAGTCATATATTAATTTTCTGAAGGCATAGCTAAAAGCTCTCTGAAAGCTTAGCAGTGTCGTTCTGTGTGAATGTTTATCAGTACCTGCCACATGGTGCAATCCTTGTATTCCCACAAAAATGAGAAATGCAAGCTACTTTAGAGGAAAGTTTACGTGGTGGGAAAAAGTCTTACTTTTAACACGTGTTACTTAGTAGTATCGAAATACAGAGAGAGAGATGAATGTCCCAAAACCTGTTCATTTTCAGTATTTTGTCTGCTGACGTCAGATCAGCACTAAGAGATACTGATTTGCGTTCTAACATGTTTTAAGCAATATTCATTATTATTTACACTTTATTTTTTTAGCTGTATCATACATCTTGGTCTAGCATACTTCAAGCACTTATGAAATTCCCAGCATTGAAATCATGCTTCAGTGAAGGTGAAAATTGACTGCTAAAGACCTTTATTTCAGGGAGTATCTGACAAGCTTAACTTTGTTACAGCATGCACCCTTCCTCTGCGTTTGCATGATTTGGTGTAGGCTAGCAGTGCATGAATATAGATAGCATGGACGCTGTGATATTCTACAGCAGACATCAAGCTCATTCATGTGGTTATTTGTTAGCCTGAAAGGATGTAAATTAAATGGTGCTTGATATTGATGCATGAGACAGTGACACCTCTGTCAGCCAAATACGGCCACTTGCAGGGAGGAATTATATATAACTAAGTAACAGCTTTATAATTTGTTGATTTTCCTGGAGTGTACTCTTTGGTGTGACGTTGCACTGGGAGCTCCCAGCCCTTCTGGCAGCAAACTATCTTGCAAGGATTGATGCTGACCTTGTCTTTTTTAGCAGTCTCATGCTTCGTGTCCATTCCCAACAGCACAGAGCCAAACTTGTTCTCTCTTCTCCACTTCTCCATAAGATCTTTTCTTCCTCACTTTAATTTCTGCCTGTCCATGTCTTGCTGCAGGAACAGGGTAATGATTTTAGCTGTAGTAAACTTTTTGAAAAATTGATTCTTTTAAGATTCACTTATTAATCTTTCTGTAGTGTCATTTACATAAATAAAAACTATTTTTTTTTTTCTGTAAGCCATACTGTCGTTGCTGCATTCATTTAAGTCATTTTATATATTACAGCATTCAGAATGGAGGAAAAAAAAAAGAGCCCAAAACAAAAGGCCTTTGGAGGAAGGGTGTGGGGAAAGAAAGGGCTTTTAAGCTTTTCGTAGCTTAGCAAACTGTAGAAAAACACGTTGCAATGATTTATTCCATCATTACTGATCTCCTGAACTTGGTTAACCCTTTTCTATATCTACAGCTGTCCCTTATTAGCCTGTGTGCCTCTGTGAGCAAATGTGTTCATTTAAATGAAGTATACTATTTAAAGGTCATTTCATGTGTCTTTAGACTGGGCCAGAATTAGCTAAACCATGAGCTATCATTTTTTGCCATTGATGACTCCATAGAATGCAATTGTCTGAATTTTTTAAACAATTGCTTTTTTTGTACATGAATAAATAGACATTCTTACTGAGATTTGGGAAGTCATCATCAGTGATAGAGATTATATAATTTAATCTGAGCATTGGAAAGAGTTATGATTTTAAAAAAAAACTGAGAAAGACCCAATAGGCATTGACATATGTCTTAAACTGTATAGTTAGCTTTTCTAAGTATTGACTATTCCAGAACGGTTGTGATTTTTAGGGTAAATACAGTTGTGGAATAATTTCCATCTCACTTCACCCCTCCTCCCCCATATTTTTGTATTAGATCATCTCCTTGTGTGGATGAAGATTATGATTCTTTAGCCCTTTGTGATCCTATGCAAAGGATAAACTGTGAAGTTGACAGCTTACCTGAAAGCTGTTTTGACAGCGGTTTGTCTACCCTGAGAGATTCAAATGAGTATGATTCAGAAGTGGAATACAGGCATCAGAGGATTTTTCAAAGGTCACAGTGTATGCAAGAAGGCTTTGGTGGTGATGCTTCTGATACAGATGTAAGTGCCAGACTTACTCCTTCTCTGTGAAAGACATTTGACTGGAGACAAAATTAGTTTCCTCTTTTTAAAGTGAAATGTATCTTTGCACATAGGCCAGTTAAAACGAAAGTGTTTGGGTTATATGCATTTATATAAGATCAGTGACTTTTTTTTTGAGAATGCATAAATAGTTACTCCTCTTTAAAATAAAGTGTTTGTTTTGACATGCATGATAGATTCTTGCAGTAATTTAATTTTTGAAGTGCACTTGTTTTTTCATGGTTATCAAACAGCATGCAGACAAGAGCTGATTTTCTAACTAATAAGAGCAGATACTGTAGAAGTACAGTAGGCTTCTGTTCTTACTGTGGTGTGACAGTGAATGAAAAAATGACATATATGAGAAAAAGAAGGCTGTTAGTACATACCTCGACTTACACACTAAGCCTCAGAGAGTTTAGAAATGTAGGAAGGTGTTACTGTGTCTATTTTGTTGTTTGTAAAAAGGAGAGCTGTACTGTTGTCTACGAAGCTAGATTAGTATCAAGCACAGCAGAACACAATTTTTTCTAGAGCAGATCCTTTACCATGCATATAGTAGAGACATTTAGTCTCTGCAATTGAAAATGCTATGAATAGTACTGATTACAGCTTCACTGTATTTAATTTTGCATGGGTATTGATAGCATAGAGACTAATGTCTTGTAGGGC